ACTTGGTTGGGTTTGCATACAGGATTGACCTCATTTCCATTTAAAATACAATTCTAAGGAGACCCATAGTGGCTAACAGTTACTTAAATTAACGCCTATGACTGCCAATAGCTAAGGGTCAGCTGAAGACAAGAAGTTCGGAGAGCAAGTTGGCCGTTGCTATGGAGTAGAGATCTAGAAAGACTGTGGGGTGTGTTAGCTCCATCTGCTTACACTACAGTGGAGGCCGTAAGAAAGAAAATGCCAAGCTCAGGAACTTGAGAGTCTTGGAGGGAGCCAGGCTCAGAGACCCAGAGAGCCTCCGGGATCCTCCCGTTGCCAGCCACAGGATTGATACAGCCAAAACTCAGACGTGACGTCTGCAGCTCCCGGCTGTGAGTTTATAAGGCAAGATGATCCGAAGCCTGGCCCGGCCTCTTGTGTGGACGTTAAACACGTTATTGGCAAGAGTGGGCCCTGGGAACTCGGAAAGGGGGATTTTGGAAGATTTGGGTGAATCTTAGTACTCTGAAACCCCACATCCTCCAAAAACTTATTTGTCAAAAGAAGTAAGCCCCTCCTCCCGTCTGTCCTTCCTCCCATTAGCAGATTATAATGACTCCACCAGCAGCAATTACATCCTAAGAGACTGCCAGTCACTTCAAACTCAAACAGACCAGTACTAACTACATCAAGACCCTGACAGAAACAGAGTCTCTTTATCCTTTAAAGTTAGAGAGCCCATTCGTTTAGTTTCCGGGAGCTGGGCATAGAAGTTTGCTTAGAGGGCGGTGGCGGAGGAGACCCCTCTGCGGGATTGCCCACGGGCTCCCGTCCTAAAGGTGCACCTCTGGTAAGACCCTGCCGCTGATCCTTTTGATCAATCAACCGCATGGCTAAACTTTGCCATAGTATTAACACAATTACACAGAAGATAAATGTTAGAAATATAAATAACTATTTGCTGATTTCATATAGGTGCTATGACTCTTATTTCACAAATATAATAGGGCATGAGGATTCGGGCATTTGGAAGAAAGCTGAACTAGAATGACTCAGCAATTTTTTGCTGTTCTTTGGCTCTTTCTGTTAATGCCCAAAGCGGCCGCGATGCGTGAGAATAGGATCCTATATAACCAAGAGAGTATAAAGAGAAGACAGATGAGAAGGACAGGCCTTGGGCTGGGTGGAGGAGTACGGTTGCTGTCCTGGCTGCTGTCTCTCGGCCTGTGATGGTCCCTGATGTTGCTGCTCTCGGACGCTGGTATCCCAACCCCTTCAGCCTGTTGCAAAGTGAAGTAGAAACGGATTGTTTCTCTTTGTTTGCCAACTTCGGAAACATCAAAATAGTAGTAAAAATGACCCTCACTATAATAATGATGTTGATAATATTGCATTTATTGAGTACACGCCAGGCACAGGCAGGCATAAAGTACTTTTCAAGTATTTGCTCACCGAGTCCCACAATAGCCCTATGAGTGAGATATTTTGATATAATCCTGAATTATAGGTTTGTAAAATTTGAACTTGTGGGAAGTTAAATTACTATCTTAAAATCATGCAGATAGTTAATGAACCTGGGACTCAAGCCTGGGCCCTTCTGGCTTGAAAACCCAAGGCTTCAACCACGGTACTATTCTGACTGCCCTTGGCTACACATGGCCTTGAGTCTGGTATGTTTTGTCTGTTACATGCCTTGCAGATTCAGCCTCTTTCCTGCACCATCAATAATGAATGCTATGATCTTTCTAAAGGACTGTTGTAGCAGCCTCCTAACTCCCATTTTGGCCTCACTTCTAATCTGTTATCTGCTGTATAGCCAGGGGGATATTTTCAAAACATAAATCTTATCATGTTACTCCACCCACTAAAAACACTTTAATGACTTCATGTAAAGACCCATCTTTCCAGGACAAATTTTTTAAAAATTATTTGTATTGATTTTAGAGAGAAAAGAAGGGAGAGGGAGAGAGAGAGAGACATTGATGAGAGAGAACATTGATTGGCCACCTCCTGCACGCCCCGCACTGGGGATCAGGCCCATAACCTGGGCATGTGCCCTGACCAGGAATCAAACCGCCGACCTCTTGGTCCATGGGTCAATGCTCAACCACTGAGCCACACTGGCCGGGCTCTCCAGGCCACTTTTGAAGGCCCACATAGTCTGCCTTTTACTCCATCTGGGCCTCACGGAGCCCACGTGTTCCCTGAAGCCCCTCTTCCCTCCCTTGCTTTCTTTTCTGCCGTCTTCCTTGGTTTCTCAAATGCACCATGTGCTTTTCTTTCATACAACCTCTGCCTACGCAGTTCCCTCTGTCTGGGGCGCACTTCCAGACCCCAACCCCACCCCTCTTTCACCTAGTCAATGCCATGCTTTCTGAAGATCACAGTTCAAATGTCCTCTCCTTAGCAAAGTCTCCCTAATGTCTAAATAAAATTGATTCCCTTCATTGAAAGCTCCCATAGCAACATTTGCCTTTTCTTGGAGTTTGGGGGTTTATAATTGTTTGTGTGGTTCTTCAGTGAATGTCTGTCTTCTTGACCACGCTATAAGCTCTAGGAGGGCAGGGACAAGTCAGGTTTCTGCTCACCACTGCAGTCCCAAGGCTGAGGATAACATTTGGTATATGGTAGGTTTTCAAACAATAATTGTAAAAAGGAAGGTACAACCCACTTCCCTAGGGTGTATGAAAAAGACAACCCTTTGTAAAAGTCTATAATGTGCTTAGCGCTGTGGAGGACCAGGTTGGCGGAGGGTGGAAGTCCGGTTCATCTGGAGCGGGTGTCAGCAGACCGCCCTAAGCCCTGCCTGTCTGAGCCTGGGAGAGCGGCAGCGAGGTCCAGTTAAAGAGTTTCAGTTGGTGGGAGCCATGCTTCAGGTTTGCAATTTAAGTGGCTCACTTCTCAGGTAAGTCAACTTAAGGAAGCAATTATTATACATGGCACACCTTCCTATCCGACCCCAGAGGCCCTCAGGGTGAATTGGTTACCCGAAGGTAAGATTAAGTGGGAGAACGGAGTCCAATGGGTCTAGAAGTTTGGATCCCAGGCTGATGGCTACGCGGGCAGAGGGTGCTATCCAGAATGACTCTCAAGGAGCTCTGGGTATCTGTGATGAGAGTCGCCTTCAGCAGAGGCAGGGGACAGTCTGCATTGAGACCCATCCCAAACACTGCCCTCTCCAGGCCCAACTTCCAGGTCTCACAAGTTTTGCAATTTGAGATTGATTGATTCTTTGGCCGCTAAAGGAAAACTAACACATCGGATTGGTTTACCAGATTCATTTCAGATACAGTCATGACGCTGAACTATGAAGCTATGTTCTGAGAAATGTGTTAGAGGATTTGTTATTGTCTGAACGACATGGAGGGAACTTACACAGACCTAGATGGCCTAGCCTGCTACACACCTAGGCCTGTTGGCACATACGGCATAGCCTGTTGCTCCCAGACAACAACATGCATTGCATGGTACTGTACAAAACAACACAAGATTAAATCAAGGACGAGAGAAAATAGTATGATCAAGGGAAGTGGTTTCCCAGCCAGTGTGGCTCCTCAGAATGAACATCGTCCCAGGCACTGAGAGGTCCCGGTTGGATTCCTGATAAGGGCACATGCCCAAGTTGAGAGCTCTATCCCCAGTAGGGGGCGTGCAGGAGGCAGCCAATTAATGTATCTCTCACATCAATGTTTCTCTCTCTCTTTCTTCATCTCTCTCTAAAAAAAAAAGAGAGAAGTGGTAAACAGATGAATGAGGCTGCTTCTGGCAGAACACAACACACTGTTTTAGAGCAAACTTTTTTTTATAAGTAGAAAGTGTACACTAAAATAATGATAGAAGGTGTAGTCAAGTAAATACATAAACCAGTAACATAGGCGTTCGTTATTCTTACAAGTATTGTATACTGTACATAATTGTATGTGCTGGTTATAGGACTGGCAGTACATGTATTTGTTTAACAGCAGCGTCATCACAAACACTAACCCGTTGCATTGCAACATTTTAAAAACATATGTTTTTACTGAGTTTAGAGAGAGAGGAAGGGAGAGGGAAATAGAGAAACATTGATGTGAGAGAGAAACATCCATTGGTTGCCTCCTGTATGCACCCTGTCCTGGGATGGAACCCACACCTGGGCATGCGCCCGGACTGGGAATTAAACCAGATTACACTGGTGAGCTTTTGGTGCACAGGACCATGCTCAACCAGCTAGGACACACCTGCCATAGGACATTCTTATGGCTGCCACGTCGCTAAGCGGTAGGAATTTTCAGCTCCATTATAATTATGATATCACCGCATATATGCAGTCTGTTGTCATTATATAGCACATGACTATTATTATTTTGATGGAATCCAGAAGAAAGAATTTGAAGAAAGTGCAAAGCTAAATAGTGGAGGGTTGGCAGTGAGTGAGGGAAAAAGAAACTTTTGCTTTGTAAGCCAGTTAGTTCTTCCATTCAGCAAATTTGGAGAATAGAAAACTGTTTCATTCAGATTGAAAATTCAGGGGGGGTAATTATTATGCTTAAGATTCTTACAACATAGCTTGCCATAGTCCTGTTGGGCTTGGACTTCATTTTCAGCCAAGAGAGACTATGTTTGACTTTGCTTGGAAACCATAAAGCCACAACAAAATAATTCTCCTGAATGCTACTAGGCAACACCAGGATCCTTTCTACACCAGGAGAAGGACTTGGGATAACAGACTCACATAGACTCAAATGGTGCATCGGAAGGAACTGAAGGTATTCTTCTGCATCATCTTCATGAATAATCAGGAATAAATGTGATTAAGGTATTAAGCGCCTTCTCAAGAGAGCTCAGCTTTTTACACAACAATAACAAAACCTTGGGAGGCCTGACCGGTCTCCCTTCAATTATTTGTACTGATTTGACAGTCAGCTGTTATTATCTTTCTGAAAGTCGATTGAATGGGAGCCAGTGGAATGTTCTTATTGAACTGCATCACTTCCTTCCTGGGACCATTGGGGCACTTCCCCAGCCTTTCAAGATAGGTTCTGCGCCGAAAGGTCAGCCGGGCAGTGGAAACCCAGGCAAAAGTTACCGGCTGGTCCAGCCCATCTTCTCGCTGGGTTCTCGGCCATTTCTTCCCTCCTAGACCTGGAGGAGGGGGCACCTTGGAAAGGCGCGGAGAGGCTCGGCTGCTGCAGAGGCGCCGAGGCCGTGCATCTCCAGGAGGTAAGGGGAGCCGGCTGGACAGCCCCCAGACCCCGCCCCCGCTCGTCCAGGGACCCGCGCAACCTGGCGCCCGGCGCGGGGCGTGGGGCGCTGGGCCGGGAGGGGAGGTGGCGACTCGGGGTAGTGCTGGGACCCTGGCCGAGAACTGAACCCGCCGCCCGACCTTCCCCTCGGAAAGCAGAGTCAGCGCGGGGTGCGGGGGGAGGCCTGAAACCCCAGGGAGCCTCCGGGAGGAGGACCTGATTGCAGAGGAGGGAGAGTCGCAGAGCAGCAGGCGAGCGAGCGGGCGCGCGGCTGCGGATCCGGAGCCACCCGGCGCGTCGTGCGCGGAGACCCGGGCGGCGCGGCTCCCCGCAGTCCTGCCACCGCGCCCGGGCTGCGGACCCCGCGGGCGGCCGGCCCTCCGCTCGCTGCGCTGCCGGGAACCGAACCGCGCGGGAGGGAGAAGGTAAAGGAAAGGGAGGGGCGGGGAGAGGAGGGGAGGGAATGAGAAGATGGGTGCAAAGCGAACACATTGCAGACAAATTGTAAGCAAGTTTGTACTTGCAGGCACGGGTTGTGCGTGCTTCACGGGAGGAGGTGGTAGTGGGGTGTGTACGTGCGATCCTCTCGGATGAGGAGCCAGGAGGTGGGGAGCGTGCTCCGGGCCTCTCGTACGTAGCTGTCCCTATTAATATCCCCTCTCTGACTTGTCATTTCCGCTCGTGGCACATCTCTGGGGCTCCACTGATGCCGAAGCAAGAGGCAGCCACCGTCTTGCTGTGATGGTTGGCACTGTTGCTACTATCAGATGGGAGATGCAGGGCGGTGAGCACAGTGGAGGAGCCTCCCTTCCTCCACCCGGACTATTTTAGGCTGGGCCGAGGGAGCGGGGATAGTTGCAAAGCCCAGGGCTGGAAGAATGAGCGCAGGGCCGGCTTCAGACTCGACTCAGCTGTCACCCAGCAAATGCGTCCACGGAGAGCCCACGCTAGAGGGCAAGATAACTTTCGTCTCCGCTCTAGAGAGACGCGTTTCAGACAGAGATTTTGCATTGCCACCGCGGGGTTCTGAGAAATGGTGCTTCCCAGGGGCAGGTGCAAGGCAGAAACTACTGCAAAACCAAGCAGCACCAGCTGCACAGCAAAGCGAGCCCTTTGAAACCGGGTCGGTGTTCTGCCTGGGTGAAGGTCGGGATGCTGCAAGTTCAGGCCCCCTTCCATAAACAGTCATTTCCAGCCCAGCCGAGAAACAGCAGCTGTGAAATGGGCCTTACCAGCCTGGCAGGTTCATTTCTGAGCTTCTCGGTAGGGGGTGGAGAACACACGGATGTAGCTACAGTTTTTCTGTAAAGGTTAAAAAAGTTCAAAATGAATTATTTTTTCTTTTCCTTAGTGCCCATGTTTGTCTTCATCTGTGAGCCACTTTCCTAAAGAAAACCTCTGTGTACAGAAGCCAGACCCGTCCAAGAGAAAGTGTAATGATTCTCAATTAGGCAAAGGTGATTGATGTGACCCACATGTGCTAAAATGCTGATTTAATCATGAGTCATGATTGTTCTTTGAAAGGCTCGCTGTTCCCCATGACTAAAAAGATTAATAGTATGGATTAAAAGTCCCTGACATCACCAGAACTGTGCAATAGAACACATCTATTTTTTCTTGCGTTTTTGAGACTGTTTATTACTTTGTGGCACATTTAGAATAAAATGTGCCAGATGAAAGCTGACTTAATATGTTTCATGCAGAAGATAAAGGCACATTTTGACTGACTCAGATAACATTGCTAGCCTTTGAAAATATTTGCTCAGCTTTTACATTATAGTCCCATTATTATCTTTCTTAACTGATGAGTTTTTCACACCGTTTTATTTCTGTCGTCATTGTCCCCATATAAAGAGTTCTCATTTGATTCTTTTCTGCAAAGGAGCAGGGATTAGGAAAAGGTAGTTTACCATTTAAAAAATGGCAAGAATTGCTTGTGTGAAATGTGTCGGGTGCTACCTAGGGCCAGCTCTCTGGTAATCATGCAGCAGCTTCTTGGAAACGAGAGGAGGTGTAACTGAAACAGGATGTAAGAAGCCCATGACTGGGCAAGGTTGGTAGTATTTTCTACTGCGGTTCCAGCTCTAGATTCTACAGCCACACCCTGTGGCCTGAAGGTGACTGGCACAGGACCCAGGACTCCCCTGTGAGGAAGTCTGCGTTTCTCCTCCTCCTCAGTGTGCTCATGTGTCCTTTCTTGGGGACCAATCCAATGAGAGCTAATGTCTGGCAGGAAGTGTAGTATATGCTCCAGCAAAGTATGGCAGGAAGGTGGCTGATAGATATCTCTGGGTATGATTGATACTCCAAGCGTACAAATAAAAGAGTTGAATGATCACACTTACTATCTTTCATGCCCATCAGCTCTGTACTTTGTCTTTTGATCGCTTGTTTGTATTTTTGCTCTTCCAGGGTAAGGCCAATTCTTATTTGTTACCCTGTGTATTTCATAATAGTAAATAATTACCAGTACTGTTCACCGATACCCCGCACACCCACATTAGTAATACATTTATCCTAACTCCAGGATGTCCCTCTTCCTCCCTTTAGCCATCTTCCGTCTTTATACCATTTAGCCATCCTAGTTTTTTTGCATTATTATTAATTAGTACCATTACTAAAGGGTGACAGAGAAAAACAATAATTTACTTTAAAATTAGTCACTTCTGTGACTCATTCCAGCAAAGAACTTAGATAGAAGGAGGTTGAAATGTATTCATTAGCTTTCTTATTTTTGTTTAATAGTGGATTTTAATAGCAATGCTATTCTTGAATATATTTAGCCGGCCAGTTAAGTAGTATCCGTACTTCATATATACACTAGCAAAGTGCTATGAATCAGTTTGTGTTTTATGGTGTCAGTTCATCTTCTCCGGTTAGAGATGAGCCACATCATCTCTGGTTGTTGTGGGTTCAGAATTTTCTGCTCTGGTTTCTTCATGCCTGAACATGCAGTTGCGTTGCTTCCCATGTATCTCTGTGGCCTAGTCACGTTTCTTCTAGTGTTTTTCCTGGTGTCTTCCTCTCTAGGACCGCAAACAAGAAACCACTTTATTTGCCAGTGGTCCACTCTGCTTAGAGACTGGAAAGGTCGCGTTGTGATGATTCGCTACCGAGCTCTCCACAGGTGTCGGTGTTAAGAGAGTGCGTTGTTTAGGTAGGAGAATCCCAAATCACAGAAAGTTTTAAATCCCTCTGCACCCTGCACAATAAATACAGCAGAGTCTATTGATCAGGATTTCAACCTGCTTCCACAGAACCGTGGGTTTCTCCCTTGTAACTCACTCTACTTTGCTGTAATGTTGATTTATCTCCTCCTCCTCTGGTGAATGAGCTCTAAGAGAGGCTTATCTGTCTTGTTCACTGCTATTTACTTAGTACCATTGTCAAATCGTTTCTCGATAGATTTTTGCTGTGTGAAACAATAAATACAGGAATCTTGCCTCTCCGCTAGGTATGGTGAATGTACTTAGCTACATTGTAATTTCAGTTCCTCCTGCAGGAAGCATTTGGAGATGGTGCAGGGACTGGTAATTGGTGCACAACCCAGCAAGGTTTACCTTCCCATCCCAATACTGGTTGCTCCGCACCCCCTCCCCTGCCCCTCACAATATCCTGCACCTGTCAAAACTCTTTAATTGCCCTAGGAGTAGTGAGCACCACTGATGGTGTGGGACCTTCCTCTGATGTTCTGGTTTGGTCGGTCACACCCACAACCACTGCTAGGTAATCAGTCCGTTAGATCAAGGAGTGAACTTCAAGGTCTCATGGCTTTATACCAGTAGTGGTTTTAGCTGCCACTTTTGCTGCCATTGGTTTTGGAATTGAAGAGCACACTGAAAACATCTCTTCTTTGTAGGCTATTCTCCCAAGTTGCAGGTAGAGAAACTGGGGCCAGGAGAAGGAAAATGGAAACCAGTTTTTTGACTGAAACTCTAATGCCAAACAATCTGCTTGGAACATTATATGTTGTTTGTTTTAAATTTAATTTATGCAGGATAAAATTAAACTTGTAGCATAAAATTATTTCCTTTGACAGATGAAGAAACAAGCACCCAGAAAAGTCCACTTTTCTTAAGGTCATGTGGACAGCAAGAGACAGAATTTAGACTCAGCTCCATGTCTCTTAGTCCACAGGGCATTTGTGTCACGGTGCCACACTCCCTGCGACAGAGTTTTCAAGGACCTCCATCCACAGAACCAACTCCAAATTACCCAACTAGCTGGAAAAAAGCTAAGCCCAGATCATATCTTCTATTTCCCGGTCTCCTTTTGCTATCTTTGTTTTACTAATTTGAAAAATTTTAACTCAAATTATATGTCCTCTTAAGTTAAAAGCAAGAGTATCATAATTTTGCAAAAGAGGAAATACGTGTATACATGCAAAATATTTAATCTTGTGTCTAAAATAGGAAGGATGTTGCATCAACTTCTTTTGCAGGGGGGAAGAAGAGGTTTTCTGGGGGTTGTCTCATAGAGGTAAAGTATTGCAAGCTCAATTTAATAAAACAAAAATATGTGTTGAGGTCTACGGTGTGCTCACGAGTATGCTTGGTGTCCAAAGGTGAGATGTCAAAGCAATAGGACTTAAGGTCTCTAGACCTGCAAAATGTTCACAGTTTACTTTGAGTGACAGAAGACTAACAATGGTCTGAGAGTGAGATAAGACTGATAACGGTGACAAATAGAAGACAAATTGTATACATAATAGTGTGGATGGTAGTACTGGAGGAACTGAGAGAAAATAGTGCTGAGTGGTGACGGTGTGTTAGAGAAGGCTTCAAGCAGGGTCTGGGTCCTGGGCTGGGTATTTGGGATCATTTGCATTTGTTCAGGTGACAGAGTCCCACAGAACGGTGATGGGGAGGTGCAATGGAGAACGGTCAAGCAAGGACATGAGGTTTTGAAGAGAAAGGTGCCGGGAAGGAAAATGTTCACAGCCCCTCTGTTCCTGAACCCACAAAATCTCAAGGCAGAATCCTAAGAGTATCTGTGTCACCCTGTCTACCCCATCTCCCTCTTCCTGTCTCTCTTCCCAAACAATCGCCACGTCCTGCACATTTTGCTTCCAAAAGATATTTTGGATTTTACCTTCTACTTACTGCACTATTTTAGTCCCATCATCTTCCGCTTGGACTCCTGAGATACCCTTCTAAGTGATCTTCCTGTATTTTCCAGTCTTATCTTCCTCAAATATATCCTTAAAAACTGCAGCTAAAATAATTTACATTATACCTGATCACTTTCAGTTTAAAACCCATCAGTCATTTCCTGTCACCTCCTTGAGAGTTGGGATCAAGCCTCTGAGCACAGCACACAGGGCCATAACCATGTGGCTGCCAACTCCTTCTTCAGACTCAGCTCCGGAATGTCACCTGGTAGAGTCCTTCAGTATCGAATGCTTGGTAGTTCCACACAGAACCACGCTCTTTGCTAGAGCTCCTCATTCTGCCTGGAACGCATGTTTTATATTTTTCACCTTACTAACTCTAGCTCATTTACCAAGACTCAACTCCGGGGTTTGCCCCCTCCCAGGACACTCTGCGGAATCTCAAGATTTGGCTGGGTGCCGATTCCTCATATCTCTCATCTCTGTATTTGCACATACCCATGGAATTATGATACGATCTTTTCTATGTTATATCTCTTCCTATGTTCTAAGCTCCTCAAAGAAGAAGATAATATATCCTATTCATCTCAGTACCTCCAGCAGTGAGCTCTGACACTCAGGATGCATTATTTATACTGTAGAAGAAAGACCGGGTGCATAAGCTGAAATGGGCCACTGCAGAGAAATTTCAAGTTCAATGTGGTATCAAAAGGGGAAGGGAGGCCCTGGTCGGTTTGGCTCAGTGGTTAAGCGTCGGCCTGCAGGCCCGAGGGACCCAGGTTCAGTTCCCAGTTCCCGCTAAGGGCACGTACCTCAGTTGCAGTTTGTCCCCAGCCCTGGTTGGGTTGTGTGGGTGGCAGCCACTTGATGTGTCCCTTTCACGTCAATGTTTCTTTCTCTCTCTCTTCCTCTCTCTCTCTTCCACTCTATCTGAACAAAAAAATGGAAAAATGTTCTCAGGTAAGGATAAAAAATAATAATAAAAAGAGGAAGGGAGGGAGAGAAGGATAGATACACATTTCCGTGTTAATCAACCGTGTAACGTGAATGCACTAGAAGAGGATAGAAATATGGTGATCTGTAATGCAATGACTTACATGAAGCACTTTTAATTCCTTAATTCTTGAGTGATGGTAATGGCCATGTCTAAGCATCTGTGAACTCCAGTGCTGAGCACGGCGTGGTGTGGAGCAGCTGAATTAAAATGAATTTCTGTCCTCATCCCTACTTAGTATATTTATATGGATAGATAGATAGATGATAGACAGATTTCAGAAAGGTATAGCGTATAACCTTCTGACAACTTAGAAGAGCCACTTTTAAAATTCCTCAGACAGTTCTCCCTGTCTGTTTTCCAATTAAGGCAGCTTTTGTATGTGGGCAGGTGAAGTACTTTCTCAGGAGAAGAAGGTCTCACATGGGCACACAGTTACAGCAGGGCTGTCGGCCTGGAGGCACGACAGGCCAGCCATGAGTAATTACTTCTCCTCTGAGAATCACTTGAAGAGCCACCCACTGAGAAGCACCCCTCCAGCCCAGAAGCTGCCAAGTATTGAGTCTAATCCTAGTCAATATCCTTTCAAGTAGCCAAGAGAGGTCTGCCCTTGCCTTTCTACCAGATAATGCGATTCACTGCGACCACTCCATCCCCTAACTTGCGAAGCGATCAATACACTCTTCCTGCAGCAGCCCGCCTTTTCAGTGCTTGTTAACACGGGGCAGTAGCAGTGTGCAATGTTTGCATCCTTTTCAAAATGGTAATCTATAAAGGATGTGACCGTCAGCTTGGCATTAGTGCATTCTAACCAGAAACCATCATATATTAGTGTTAATGACATTGTACATCATAAATAACAATGTTTGCATACATTCAGTTTGTAATCCAATTTTTGAGAACATTCATAGACTCCTCTTGTTTTCTCTTTTTCTTTCGGCAGGTGGGCCATCGCACATACATGTGCTGTGTTTTCTTTACAGCTTTGCTGTTCTCATCCTGCCCCCCCCCCCCCACGCCATTCCTTCTCTTCCCCTTCATCATCATGACGCTTGACCCCCTGGTTAAGGTTCTTTCCCTGGGCACATTTTGCACTCCCTTCTTCTTTCTATCATGAATTGTTCTATTTGTGGCAAGATCTTATCTTCAGCTAACCCTAGGGTTAGGAAATCCTCGTTCCAAGTACACGTCTCAATGTCAAGATTTCAGCGACTACTCTCCTACCTCTTTCCCCTCCCCCAGTGAAGAATTTATGAATTAAACCTGATAAGCAGAGAATTTAGGAGGAAGTTAGAAGGAAATTGTTTTGTCTGTTTAATCCACCCTCAATCCAGACTTAAAACTTGCTATAGAATCTTTCTGTAGGGAGAGAAACACCACGGAATGAAATCTGTTTGGACTTCTAAACCCAGAATGTTCGAAACTCAAATTTGTAGAATGAAATAGTCTTTCATTTATATGTTTTAATTCATCAAATTCTTATTAGGAGGTAAGATTTTTATCTCATTCCTGGAAAGTGTACAAAGGAAACAGCAAAATCTGTTGTGCAAGGCAGGCTGACACCGTACAGGTGAGACCTGTGGGAAATGAGAAAGAAAACTCAGAGTGTTAAGTACTTTCACTTTTCATAGGTCAGTGGAGAAAGTTTATAGTTGAAATCGAAAACATGAAATAAAAGCCAACATTTCTCCTTTCAGCTGCCAACTGTTGTATCTTGGGGACGTATTTGTTTTATCAACTATGGTAAAAATTCCTAGTATTTGCCTAGTACTTGATAAGTATGTTCACATTCGTCATTTCACTTGGTCATGAGTCATCTATTCAAATGGAATAGAAAGAGTTCTTATTTTCGCACTATGGTGACCTGTGCAGAATTTTTTATACATTGGACCTTTTCTATTTGTTTTTCAGGCTCCGGAGTTGATTGAAGAGGAGAGTCTTAAAACAAAAGGAGAAAAAGACGTGTGTTTAATCGTTGGACATGCTGTCCCCGCACTGACTGCCTCGGCGCCTGAGACGGCTTTGTGACTCCGCAGACCTCGTGAAGTTCAAGCTGTTTTCGGGAGCAGTGTGATCCTGCACTCGAGTGAAGGGTCTCTGCTCCCGGTTTCATGCTGCAGCAGGGACCATGGCGGCCTCCAGGACGGCCACTCTGTCTCCTCGGGACATTGCCAACGTGATGCAAAGGCAGAAAGGTAAGGGACAGAAATGTCCACTGTGTTTTGTTTTACCAGGCTTTAAATACCTATTTATCTCAAAACCTTTTCAGTGTGCTTACATGTTTGCTCAATTTTATGCAACTATAACAAGGAATACCAAAATGTCTTTTAGCCCAGTGTCTTCAAACTAGTCGATGCTATTTTAAGATTCTGTCTTCTTTATGTAGAAAAAGGACAAAGTTCTTATTTTGGTTTTGTGTCTGCATTACTGTGACCTTAGTGGTTATTCAGTGTCCAGTGGGAATTCAGAGTTATCACAAACTCTCCTTCAATAACACATGACAGTCCAGCACCGTGACAGTGCCCCAATAAGGTTATCATGACAATGGTGAAGAAATAACCAGATGCTATTGTCCAATAAGTAACCACTGGCTTCACCCAACAAGCAAGCCCTTAGACAAATAGAAAGTCTTTAAGCAAAATGAGGCCAAGAGGCCCAAAGGGGTGAAATGACATGATGCAATCAGCGGTCATTGGCAGCCTGTGGACCGGAACCATCTCTTATCAGTGCTCTTTGCTAAAAGCAAATTAACAGTGAAATGTAATGGCAGCTCATACATGTATCCCTAATTATGAATTTTCTTTAAACATGTATATTCCTTGAACCATGAAAATCATCATCATCTATAGATAGAAGAAAATACTGCTTCTCTGCCACAATCCCCATGCTACCTCTCCCAGGCTTCAAAAGTATATTTTTAGGATATAAACATATCCAACATTAGCAGGGATTTGCTCTGGTCTTTGTCAAGAGAGCTTAAAAATAATGTTATAGTTAGGCCCTCAGGTTTTCTAGAATCTCCGGCGAGCGATCGGTGTGGTTTTGCACCATGGCCATCACATTATTCTATCAAACCCCCACTTGCCCTGGCTTGCGATGGATTTGATGTGCATAGTGTTAATTTTCAGTTAAGCACATTTGACTTTCAAATACAGACCAAATGCTTACATCTGGATAGTTATGGCCCAGAACATACTCCCAGCTTTAGAAAATCAGGAGATGAGAGAAACTGGGAGTTTTTCCGCCCGACCAGACACCGCCACTTAGAATTTCCTGCAGTCACGTGAGCCCGCTCATGTGTGTCTGCCCGGGCACGTTTCTGATGCTGGATTCACACTAGGTCCTCACATCCCACTTGAAAGACCAGAAGCAGCCTGGCCACATAGAAGAAGAGATCTCTGCTGAATGTGTGGGCACAGAGCTCCTCCGCAGGCTGGAGAAACCTCTGGCTGGGTCCGCCCAGGGCCGGGCGTCTCTTCAGGCTGCACACCTCCACTTGGGTAGCCGGAACACGGACTTGGAGTTCCTTCCCTCTGCCTGCGTTGGCTGTTTCCCCGGGTGCCGATTACTGCACCATTTTGTGTGCATTTTGCGCCTCCGTGACCTCCTCTTTGAAATGATGGAAAGGAGACCTGCAGATCCCTTTCAAACTGGGGGGAAGATAATTAAGTAATAAAGCAGATTTTCCTTTCAGTCTATTAAATGTGGAAATTCTCTGGATGAGGTTGGCACTAAAGGGAAATTGTAAAGAGTAAATATGAAGAAATTACATAATTCAGAATCAGATTATGATTCTATAGAAACCTTATTTATTTATTTATTTTTTTGTTATTCTCATCGGAAGATATTTTTCCATTGATTTTTCAGAGAGAGTAGGAGGGAGGGAAACATCGATTTATCTCACATTGATTGGTTGTCTCCTGCATGACCCCAACCAGGGCCGGGGATGGAACCCACAACCCAGGTATGTGTCCTTGATCAGAAATGAACCCATGACCCTTTGGTCCCCCGGCCAAGGCTTCAGCTGCTGAGTCAAACTGGCCGGGCCAAACACTTTATTCTTATTTTGGTTTGAATGACAATTTTTTTAAGGCAATGGTTGGGGTAAGAGGAGAGGAAAGAGTACTAATGCTCTTAGTGTTTTATTTTATATGTTTTGTGGAGAAGATATAAGTGTTGTTTTTTGAGAGGTGTGTGGAGGGGGGAAGCATTGGGGCCCCCTGCCCCCATCCCTCACCTGTGACAGTGGATGTCCTATTTAACATCTATGCATTGAGGAGCCCCACTTGCAAAATGTGGGCTGTTCTCCTGTCTAGCCCTCTGGAGATTGTTGTCAAGCTCAGTGAGATGATAGATGAAAGGTGCTTTGAAGACTAGAAATACTGTGATATGGTGAGCCATTTCAATAGCCGTGAAAAAAAAATTGTATGAGAAGACACAGGCCTAATAATTTGTTGCAAATTTTTCAGATTTTGGGAGGAATGATAATGGTCTTAAATATCCTGCACTGTATAAAAGTAGTAATTTTATTACATAGTGAAGTGACTATACTTACCATATTATCTTTTTCCTTTCTAGTTAAAGAAACATCACAACATGTCACAAGGGTACCTGACACATTTAGAACAGTACACCTTACAATTTAGAAAGACATAAAAGTTATTATATAGTTATTATATATAACTAGATAGTAACTGAGCCCTATATAGTTATTACCTTTCAGCATCAATGACTTCATTACATCTAGTATTCATGGTACAAAATGTAAGGCACCTACTGCCACATGTAGCCTGCGTCAGTGGAAATGAAATGAGCTGCCGGAAGTGATGGACATCTGCAGACATGTCTGTTAGCATGTTGATCTGCCGAGTTACTCTGCTGGTTCAGCTGACAGCACATGTCTCCTCCTGTTCTCAGTTCTTGCTGGGTTTACTGATGCTTTCGGCCCAAGCAAGAGTCAACTTCCCCAGACAGAGGAGACCTGGCTTCTGTCAAGGGTATTTGGTATCCCTGCTTGCCTGCTGGAAGCTCCAAACTAGTGACCACGTTCCTTGTAAATGGAGGGTTGGCATCATTACCCAGATAATTAAGACACATGAGGAATTTATTAGAGGAAAGATAATTTCCCATTAACTTAAAAAGAACCCAAGTTGCTATTTTCAAAGTTCAAATGCATAAGGACCTTCTTCTAGAATCTCCTTTTCTTTGCCTGGATAGATCCTCTGAGTGATAATGCTTCCCTTCCTCTTAGACTTTATAGTCATGACAGACCCATGTATAACTAATAAAAAACACATAACTTTGAATAAAAGCAACTTGGCTTTACTCTCTTGCTTATTTACAACCATAATAGTTAGCTGTTTTTCTGCTCTTAATTTTTATTTCTAGTGCTAAAAAATAAAGTGCACACACAGACTGCTACATAATTTAGCTGCTACTGTAGCCATTAAATATTTCACCTTTGCCAATATTTGTGCTTGTCTGAGCCTAATGTTTTAGGCTGGGATCCTGAATTATGGATGAGCAGACAGACTGCAGTGCAGGGTTTCATTTGATCTGAAGAATGATGACTGTTTCTGTAACTTTTATCAATTTCAATATAACCTTAAAAGCAAATACAGGATAAAAAGTATAGTACAGGGGTATTAAATTTTAAATGCACATAATTAGTATGTACATTTTCTTCTCTTAAAGGCTAAAGGGGTCCACTTAAGAGGTGGCTTCTGGAGACACTTTAGTTTACAGTTACATCTAAAATAATAAATGTCTGAACTCTTCAGAGTATAAATTTCTTGACGATAGTGGCAAGAGTTTAAGGCTTTTTGTACATTTTCATCGTGCTTTTAACACAATGTTTGCTTACAAAGAATTTGTTCACTGACTTTTATCATACACATTTTTTTTTCATTTGAAGATAACCCAGTACACTTTAAGGAGTTTTAAATTAACATGTCACTGTTGGCTCTTATAAGACAAGGGACATCAATGTAGCCTTATACAGCAAGTGGTAAATCCAGAGAAGATTCAAATGGGCAGACTCAGGTATTATATAGAGGTCAATTCAATAAAAATAATAGGATAATTGACGACAAAGTCAAAGTTTGATTTTTAACACTTGGGAATAAATTCAAAGAGAAAAAAAATGACCAAAAAAAATTAAACATTCACTCTTAGAGACCTACATAAGAAATTTGCTAACTGTTCAGTAAAAAGTATTCATGGCCTCCTTCAAAAAATTGAAATGTTTCTGTTTTAATATAATATTTCCTATAAATCCATTACTCTGTGAAAGAAAACCTCACAGTGGCAAAATAGTTGACTGAAAAATAGAATGACCAAAAATAAATAATGAAAATTTAATTTTCTTTTAGTTTAACATTAAATAAGCATGGGAAAGGAATAGTTTGCCATCTTGTGAAGATTCTAATTTTTTATAGTGCCTTCAGTTTTATAGCTAATTACTCTGACTTAATGACTCTTCTTATTAAAAAAATATGAAAACAATGACAAAAATCCATTTATTATGTTTGGGCTGAAATTCTCCTTTTGTTTAATCTCTTTCCACAGTGTTGTAGGATTGTATCTCAAATTTAAGTAGAATACAATTCTCAGCACAAAACAATGATCATTTCTTTATATTTTGGAACATTGTAGCTAAGTAAATATTTGATAAATTGAAAACAAAATTAGTCAAGACATGTACAAAGAAAGGAAGAAACCAGTTCAATTGTATCCTACTCTGACCTCTTTGAAGTTTATTTTTACCTAAATTTAAAAAATCAAAATTAGATTTTTTTTTTAATCCTCACCTGAGGATATTTTTCCATTTTTTGTACAGATAGAGTGGGAGGGAGAGAGAGAGAGAAACATCGACGTGAAGGGACACATCGAGTGGCTGCCACCCGCACGACCAACCAGGGTTGGGGACAAACTGCAACCGAGGCACGTGCCCTTAGCGGGAACGGAACCCGGGTCTCTCCGGACCACAGGCCGACGCTCTAACCGCTGAGCCAAACTGGCCAGGGCTCAAAATTTGATTTTGACCATAAAATTACTTTAAAGACACACGTCCTACCTGAAGGGGTGACTGTGGTAACCTCTCAGGTGTGTGATTGTCTTTGCAACTCTGATGCTTTCAATCCTGAAGGTCTGTTACATGTCCCTGTTACTTTTTAACGTATTAAAGAGTTTACAT